GACGCATCGCCTCCCGCCATGCTCGTACGCCCCCATCCCCGGGCGACCAGTCGTTTGCAACCGGAACGACACCGTCAGCACCGTCAACAATGGCCGACCGGGACAACTCACCTCCGCACGGTAGCTCCGCAGTCGAACGCTCACGGGAAGGCAGCTCAGCGGGGCAAGAATCCAGACGAGGCGAGTCGCCCTCATTATATCTTTTCCCCGCGCGCCGGACGCCGCGGCCGCGGCGTATGCTCTGCCGTCGCCAAGTTGCAGACCCGCATGCGCGTGCGCTTCTATTTCTGCCGCTTCGCTGTGATCGCTACGGTGCAGACGCGCCTAACTAACTCCTCCGCGCTCGATCGCCCGTGCCGTGCTGCCCCTCCGGCAGCACGCGCACATGTATGCGCTGCATCTCTGTGCGATTGTGTAGGCAACAACGGGTGCTGATGTATAGTACATGACCGCTCTACTGGGCGCACAATATCACTTCGAGCCCCACTCGATAAATTAATCAAAATTGCAATATGGTTACGAGCCGGTCATAGCGCAGCCTTCCGCGCGCGGCCTGACGACCTCTCCGTGCGCGCACGTCCTCTGCGCTCGCACCGTCTGATCAATCTGGCACAGGTGTATCGCAGCCTGGTTCGCAGCAGACCCCGCATGCATGCATCCCGGTCTAAGATGAGCCCTCGCGTCGTGCACCACGCCCCGCTCGCACTCGCATCCCGTCGTCGCACGCGCCCCGGCCTCCCTCTCCTGCCCGCCCACAGACTCTGCACCCACCTCGCCCACCTCACCGGACGCCCGCCGTCTCCGCTGCACGAAAACACGCTACGTAATACACATCGCAAGCACGTCCGTACATTCTCACCGTTGTCATGCCCCCTCGCACTAGCCCTCCGACGAACCGCACCGCACAACGCGTCCACGCGCCCCTGCGAACTCGGCCGGACGGCCGGCACGCACGTAGGCAGCGCACCAGAGTGGACACTCCCGCGTTGTTGGTGCATTCTCGCGAGCCGCGCGTCCGGCTGCAGACGTGCTGGTCATGGCCACTAGTCCGGTCAAGGGAACCCAAGGTCAGCGCACGACTGGGACCGGCACACGGATGCGGCAGGAGACGGCGGCATCGTCAGTATTCCGCGCGTCGGTAGTCAAGATAGCACGACGCGACGTACCTGGTAATGTGAATTCCATCCCTACATCTCTGCCCCGTCCGTGCCCCGCGCAATCAAGGCAGGTGGCGTGTTTTGGGTCATCGCGACGGACAGATTTGACACTGGGAGGACCAGCCGACGCGACGTGAGCAGAGCAAAGGTGGTAGGACATTGTACAAGCACGGTGAGGTTACGTACTCGTACGCCGGTCAGGTCTGTGCGCGTTGTCAGACTTCATGATCATCGACTGACGACTGACAAGACCAGCTTACATTCACGCACCGCCTGCCACCAATGACATTTCCCGAACGACTAATTGCTTGCAAGCGGCATGATATGGTCAACACCATGCACAACGGCCAACTTAGACACCTCACCTCAATGCGGTAGCTGCATAGTCGAAGGCTCACAGGAAGGGGACTCAGCGGGGCAAGAATCCAGACAAGGTGAGTACCCCTCGTTCAATCTTCTCCCCGCGCTCCGGAGGCTGCCGCCCCCGCCGCTTAGGTCCTGCCGCTGCCAAGTCGCAGACTCGCATCAGCGCGCACTTCTCCCAGGCCCCTGTTCGCCGTGATTGCTACAATGCAAATGCGCCTAACTAACTCCTCCGCGCTCGATCACGCGCGTTGCGCCATCCCTCCGTCAGCATGCTCACGCGCATGCGCTGCATCCCTGCGCTATTGTGTGCGGGCGCACGATGTTATCGCACGCGCTGCTAGGTAACGGCGGTGGGGATTTCAACATTTCTGTCAGCCGGGCACAGCGCGCCCTTCCCTGACAGCGTCTCTTGCGCCCACGCAACGGACAAACAAAGTGCAGGCCGCCTGCCCATGCCTATCGGCTGTCCGCGTTAGAATGGTCCGGCCATGTCTGCCCACGGTACAGTGTTCTGATGACGCCCTGGACATGTCCGGTGCGCGAGACATGCTTGATGTCTCTGCCTTCCTATGAGCAAAGATGTCGGCTGCGCCAGGATACCGATCACATTTAGAAATGTGATCGGCGTCTTGGCTAGGATCAATGTACTTAGTTAGAATATACTCACAGCGCTGCGGCGGGGAACGGCCTCGCACACATGGAGAACATCAGCGTGCTCATTCACGCAGTGGTGCAACGGCGCGATTCCATCCGTGAAGCTGCATGCTACAGACTAACTCCGGAGGTTGGAGAGGGGGTGCCGGGATGCTTGCGTGATGTATTAGGGACAGGGCGCAGACTGTAATATATAATCAAATTCACATAGACAAGCCTGAGCTTCGGAATACGACACACGGGGACCGGAGATTGTTCTCTGCTGTGTGAACCCATTGCCCCAGCTATGCAACTGCAACAACTCAGACATCATGAAGATGTCTGCGATGGTCATTGACTCGCATCCAATCCGGATTCATGGCCGCGTTTTCCGCATGCCGCAAATCCGCTACCATTCTGGCCCGCACGTCAGCATGCTTACGCGGATGCACTGCATCTCTACGGAGATTTCTCACGCACTGCACAGTGGATCACGGCATTGCCCGCAAATATTACATCTCTGATTCGGTATTCCGGCAGAGCATTTGAAACATGCCGATATCTCGGCATGCTTGTCACGTCCTGGGCCCGTGCGGTGGCAAAGTGGCTGCCAAGGACAAGTGTCAACGCTTATAAAGGTGGGCGCTTTGCAACTGCACATCGTCTCCGATTACCCTGTCTCTATGCTATCTTTATGCTGCTGCTGTATCCCATGTATTCTTTGCTACGCCGTCTCCAACACTCTGTGCGAAACTTGCAAGTCGGGCTGACCGGGATCTCATGCCAGTCGGATGCAAGCTTCCAACAACAAAAGAGTCACAAACGGCGCACGAGCTATCTAAGGAGTTACAGGAGTCGTTAACGACCAGGTACATGCCAACTCGAGCGCTGAGGACACAGAGACCGTAGCGCATTGTATCGCGCTATAGTCTGCGACAAGACCATGTGCGCAGTATCACCCTGGTGAGTGACCATGTGTAGTGGCATGGCCGTCACAGTGTAGCTGATCCAAATTGCGCTACGGACCGTGCGAACAGACTTCAAACTGACAATGCATACCAGTACGAGAATTTCGCGGGAAGACGAGGACCATCCACGAAATCGCAACCGACCGGGAACGTCAGCGCGGGATGACGAGTTCACCCCGGGAGGTCCCGAAGAACGTCTGCGCACCTCGCCAATGCACAGGCTGCTCGCCGTTGAGTCGAACTACAGCACTGACCGGGCCGCTAACATTGGCGACTGCGCCAGCTTTCAGCAAGCATACCGGGTGAGCACAATGTTGCAAAGCAGGGTTTGCTTTCCATTCTCCGTATTGAGAGCTGACTGCGTCGCAAACAGGACATAAGGAGGACATGGTCGAGAGAAGACAAGAACACGGGCTGTTTGCTGTAACAACCGGACATGCAGATTCACGCCTGCGCTATATGTGGGGATCAGGTGGCCACGGATCGCGCTTGTCAGCGGCCAGCCACGCCCACTACACACTCCCGCGTATCGCGCCATTGTTGTGCGCGCGAGCGGGCGTGTGACGCCATCATGCGACGGCGGGAGAAGACGTGCACACCGGGCCAAGGCGTCCCGGACATCATTGCGAAGGCAAACTGTGGGCGACCCACGACCGGACTATCCTGACGCGGACGGCGGGCAGGCATGGGCACGCGGTCTGCTGCGAGCAAACGGCGCATTCGGCTGTGCGGCGCGCGCGCGGCGTCTGTTCGTTGCAGGGGTGCGCGCGGCGCCGTCCGGGAGGAGCGCGGTTGGCCAGCGTCGTAGTGTCGGGATTCCTACCGCCCTTGTCGAGCGGGGCCCAAGGTGGCGTCACGGGCGCTGCACACACGGAAGCCCGCTTCTAACACTGGGGACGCTGTTTTCTGGTCTCGCGCGCGAGGCTGCGTTCGGTGGCACAGCCCTGCCTGGTGTGCGTGCGGCGCGGCACTTGCTGCGAGTCGACGCAGGATACGGCGGATAGCATGGGTGTAAATACTGTATTAGCGAGATTGAAATGAAACGAGCTTACCGGACTTGTACTGTGTCCCCTTGAGTGCGCTCTGCCCCTCACAGTGTGCTCCACCCCTCACAGTGCGCTCACAGTGCGCTCTGCCCCTCACAGTGTGCTCCACCCCTCACAGTGCGCTCACAGTGCGCTCTATGCCCTTCACAGTGTGCTCCACCCCTCACAGTGCGCTCTATTCCCCTTGCACCCACCTATCTCTCGATCTTTCTCCGGTCTTCCTGTCTGCCTGGACACTCGCACCACCGCCAAGTCGCGCAAATAGACGCCCGTGGCTCGGAACATAAAATATATTTCCGTAGTCTGCACAACAGCACCACCGTCGCCTTCGCATGCAGCGCGCCCTCGACGTGCCCCGTGTCGACGTCCCTGTACAGCGCGATCGTCGAGAATGCCCCACGCTGTGTCATCGCGTCGTCGCGATCTGCCGTTCCCGGCCGCCGCTCCTTCTCTGCGGGCGCCGCGACGCCGCCGTTGGACAGCGACGCAAGCATGCTCTTCCAGCCGCTCCCCGCGGGCACGCATACGTCGTGCAGCCGCTCATGCGCCTCGGGGAACAACCGCTTGGACAGCTGCTCCTCGATGGGCAGGAGCGGCGACAGCCGCATGCGCATCTTGCGGTGCGCGTCGGTCAGGGGCGAGGTGGAGAAGCGCACGGCGGGTGGCGCGCGGCCGGCAACGCCCTTGCCCTTGTCTGGCCGCGATGCAGGCTGTGCGACAGACTGGTCCCATTCTTCCTGGAGGACCTCGAGGAGGCGCTTGATGGATCTGGGCAGGCGCGCGCAGGTGATGAGCAGCGTGGGCGCGTCGGCGAGACGAGAGCGACGTACCGGATGAGGTTGAGCTGGATGATGGTCCTCCAGGCGGCGCGTTCGCTGCGGAAGTGCGAGGGCGAGAAGGCGAGCTGGAAGTCTGGAAAGGGAGCGTGTCAGGAGGTCAGCGGGCAGCGCATGCAAGGACAGGGACACGCACTCTTGAGCGTGGTGCTCTTTCCGGACTCGGCCTGGCCTGGCGAGGCGCGCGGGTGAGCAAGCGGGGAGGGGAGGCAAGAGAGAAGGCGCACCGAGGAGGAGGATCTTGATGGCCTTTTTGCGGCGGTCGTAGGCTTTCTTGTCCTCCTGAAGGGTCTGGTCGATCTCGTGGGAGACGGCCTGTGCGGCGCGCTGCTGCTGGAGACGGGCGTCGCGGTCGTCGGGGGACTCGTCTGGCGGGGGCTGGAGTGCGCGCGTGAGGGGGTCGTCGGCATCGGCAGACGAGAAGAGGGCGGCAGCAGAAGCCATGGGAGGGGACGGGAGGGCTGCTGGGTGGGGAGGAGGAGGAGGGAGAGAG